AACTTTTTGTGAAGATGGGTATGAAATCCCTTGCGATTCTTTGGTGTTTTCCATTGAATTTACGCACATTTCTTGCTTTAAGGCACTGCAGTGTTGTCGATTGTTTTAGCGGATTGGTTGCCTATCTATTCCACTAACAGCTCTTTCATCGTTGTGCACTATTTAGAAATCGCCCCGAACGCGACTTCGACAGATGCCCTGAGTACAGGTAAGTTCCTCGAACTCTGCTGGTATGGATTTGCGTTCTAGCCAGAATTTTTGGTGCGAAATGCATACGGTCGCCTGTCGGTTGTCTGTGTATACAGAGAACCAAATTTCATAAGAGACATTGACCAGAACGTGAAGGAATTAAGCAAAACTTATTAGCCTATGCAACAGAATAATGATGAAATAGTAAAATAAGTTGATGACCACTGAGGCGTGTGTGTACGCATCGGCTGTCAAGATGGAGTCTATGGCTATCCTTGTAGGTCTATGCATGATCGGTTAAACGGACATAAAATAGGACTACTTTCCCATCATGGAATATAAGGCTACCAAAAGGACCACATAACAAATCCAGTAGTGACCATCGGCATATCAATTGTAGCTCAACTCCCTGAATATGACAACCTGGATTTTGAATCCGAATTCGGCTATGTATTGAGCTCAGCAAACTGATACATGGATCATGGGTCAGCATCCTGTTGAGAGGAGGCCTTCGCAGATTGAGCCGTATATTAAGGGCCAAAGTGCTGTCATTTTCCTTCCACAGAGCAGCTGCCATCAGCATTGGCGGAAGTAGCAGTTTTCCTAATTGGTTCCCTCTTTCCTGACAAATGCAAGGTACGGGAGCGACTCCGGAATCCGCATACCATCTAGGGGGGCGAAGTATATAATTTTGCGTTTTTATTAGTGCTGTGATCGTAACCTCAGTTCTGTGATAATTAGTTTGCAGCAAAACTGGGAAGTTGTACGGTGGAGATGGGGCGGGGCTGAGATAAATGCAGTCGATGTCAGGAATGGGGTGAGAGCGGAAGGGCGCAGAGATGTCACAGGTGGCGAATACATAGCAAAGAATAAAATACAGCTAAAAACGTACTGCTGAAAGAGACAAGAAAAAACAAAATGGCCACCTCTATACTAATTTTCACTGATATATGGCGGCTTTGAATACTTCCAGTCAGGATCGTGAAGATCTCGAACCTTGGATAAACAGTAAGGTCGCTTACTTTAAAACATACTTACATGGGTTTAGGTTTCAGACCCTGTTGGCGGCGGCTACGGAGGAAACTTGGCTGAAAGTTATTTATGTAGTTAAAGTCATGTGCATACCCTAACTGCTACAACCTTCAGATGAGGATCGAACTGGGAAATTGAGATGGTAGGCATCAGAAGAATGATAACTGCATTCAGTACAGAAGGGAGTAAGAATAAATATGGGAGCACTACGAGAGGTGCAGGGACAGATGTCCCAGTGTCCTGGGTGTGGGTATGTTTGCCTCAAGCCTGGGGTGAATTGACTGGTTTGGACAGCTGCGATTAGCTGAGCATCAGTCTTCGGTTCAGCGACTGACTACACACGATGGCAGTAACATACAGGGTCACAGAATGTCAGACGAAAGGCTGCTGCTGCTGCCGCTGCTGCTGGCGTGCCAGATAGAGCCAGATATGAGAGCATCAAGTGTACATTAAGAAACTAGGACCAGATGCGTAAACGCCAGTCTACTGTGGCTGGGAATGCTGCCTGTGTTAGTCGACAGAGTGTATGAACAGGGCTCATGTAGTGGCTCTGTAGGCAAACCTACTAGAGTTAACATCTCAGGTCTTCTGGGCATGGCCGACAGACAAGGACATGTATTACGGACAAAACCTCTCGAAAATTCCTCACATTCTGCATAAATAGCCGTTGACAATGATGATTAATTAATTACAGAGCTGTAAATGCTTAAATACCACGATTTCGATGATAGTGATGGTTCCTTTATCAGTGCAGCTTGCAGTTGACTGTTGCCTGTGCTATCAAAGGTAGTGTAGTTCTTTTAACTTGAATAGAGAAAAGGATAGGAAACAGGATTATTGGCTGCATGCTGCATTCGAATTTCCCTTCAATCCCTTGTAGACCTGTCTTCCAACGGCACTTCGGCCTTCACCACTGCATTCCCGATGAGCACCCCTTCTTCAGGTGGGAACACCTTGATTCCAATCATTTGTATTTACCTCACTCTACTTCCCAGCATCTGAGGAATATGTATGAAGTATTTTTACCTGATTTGCTTCCAAAGACGAAGAAGTGATAGCGAGGGCAGCAGTAATATGTCATGGCGTTCAACAGTGTAGAAGAAGAGGAGATAGTACTAGTAGAAGTAGCAATAGTAGTAGTAGTAAGAGTAGTAGCAATAGTAGTAGTAGTACTAGTATTAGTAGTAGTAGTAGTAGTAGTAGTAGTAGTAGTAGAATGCCAGAGGCGAAGGACTCAATTTAGGGTAGAGGGCATATTCTGCGTGAGTGGATTTTCACGCATCTGTCTTAGAAGAAACATTGTTGTTATTGTGCAGATGGAGAAGTAAACAGAAGTGAAAAGAGGTGGTAAGGGTGAACATGGAATTATCAACGTAAATAGAAAGGAGCCAAAAGACCATATGTAGATTTGTGTCCGTCTCCACCCATAAATAGGCCACGGGTTTCCAAATCCACAGCCTCAGGACTAAATGAGGGAGTGAGGTAAGTGCGAAAAAGAAATCGGTGAGGTTGCATTGACTCGGAGCGCCAGCAGCAAATGGTAACGTTTACAGTGCGTGACCTATCTCATGAAATGTTGGCTGAAATTCTGAGATGCGTTTTCGATTAGGAAGGATTACTTGGTCGCGATTGTGATACTAATTATCTCAAGGCATACCATTATAACATTTTGAACTCGACAGGATTTCGGCTTTAAAATGCCCTTCTTTTCAATCTCCTGTAGGAAGCGTGTTCGGTAAAACATGGCTACTTAAATAGCATGCATTTTTCAAATAGATTTCCTATGGTCTTGGAAATTCAAATATATTTTATAGAAACCACAAACAAAAATATGCTTTCTTTTAGTCAATCAATAGAAAATCATGTCTTCTTTACATTTTATACTTAAGGAAGGAGTATAATTAGGTTTTAATAAAGTTTCTCATTATGAGACTTTTTTAGACCGCGATGTGTCCATTCACATAGCATCGTACCTGGCCGTTTACCACTGCCCCTCATGAAATTTACAACATGGTCCGCATCCATTGCAAAATTTTATGGGCTCTGTTTGATAACTCTTTAATGACATAGAAAAATATGGGATTTTCTTTACGCGGAATGCATGCACCTTTTAGAGTGTAATCACTAAGCACTAATGCAACGAATGATCAGGCTTCAAATTTTTCGGCAATTAGAAAACTTTTTTAAAACCTTTTTATACTCCTTCCTTAAGAATGAAATAGTAAGAAGACGTTATTCTCTATTGACTGACTAAATGAATGCATATTTTTGCTAATGGTTTTTATAAAATATATTTGAATTTCCAAGACCATCAAAAATCAATGGAAAAAATGCATGCTACATACGTAGTCATATTTTACCGAGCATATTTTCTACAGGCGATTGAAAAGAGGTGAATTTAAAAGCAGACATCCTGCCGAGTCCAAAAAGTTATAAGAACATGCCTTGAGATAATCAGTATCACAACCATGACCAAGTAATCCTTCCTAATCGAAAACGCATTACAGAATTTCAGCCAACATTTAATGAGATAGGTCACGCACTGTACACTCCACGTACATACATGCAATTCTTCAAATAAACTGGGAAGCAAATGTGGGAAGTGATCCATAGGGAGCATGAAAATAGCAATGATAAGGAGAAGAGCAATGACTACACAGATAAGAAATTTGATGTTGACTATTACGTCGTAAACCTGAGGTTTTAAATTTATCTCCACATCTAATGGCTGTGGTGATTTTAGTGCTGACAAAAACATACAACTCTGAAACTCGGGTGATTGGGACGAGTGGAGAACCGGAACCCTGGTTGAACGATTACTATGATATGAGCAGCTCTTCCTCCAAACTCGTCGCCGGAAGAATATGCAACCAGGTCGGTGTTCACATTTTTAACTTTTATAAGCCATATTTCCTCCCTCCCTCCCTTCCTACTCCTGCTCCTGATTATCTACTTCATCTATCTGCTTTTCCACATTCAACTACTTATTGTCCGCGCCCTCCACTAATTAATTCACCCAACCACCACCACCACTAACATCACCACCACCACCACCACCA